AACAGCAGTAACAGCTTGCTGACGCTCTGCTGATGATACGGTATCGCGTGCGCGCTTACGTAAGCAGAAATTTGAATCTTCGTGACAGTTCACGGTAACATATGATTGATTGGCATGGAGATGATATGAATTTTTATGATTTTCATTTTACAACTAGCGGCCATGTATTAAAACATGAATATATTAATAACAAATATCAAGAGAAGACATTTTTAGCAGAAGTGATCTTCACGTGCGTAACGCGCTGTTTTTCCTTTCATATTGCAATTTTTGAATATTATACAACAAATTCTGAAAGTTTCGAATTGCCACCGCTTCAGTCAGATCTTAAGATTACAAAAGTATACTGTAATAAGAATATGTAACATAATCATACTTTAATTTTTTAATTAATAAGTTACAGGAGTGTCTGATAATAAGAATATGGAAAGAGAAATTCCAGTTCAATTGGTTATTTCAGCACATTTTCAAAGAGCTCTATTGTCTTTATAGCACCAGTTTTTAAGAACAATATGGTAGTTGCTCGCGAGTATGTATTTATGATATAAAAACTAAAATTATTCATGTATGAAAATATTTTTCTAAAATTAACTCTTGAAAATCTAAGAGTTCTACTTTAGATATGTGTAAAATACAGCGAGAACAGCGGAGAAATGTATTTTAGGAGCTTCTATAGATAGCAGGTATTGATTCATAGGAAAACTTGATTTAAAAAGATTATCACTTCAATAAGTGATTTTTGTAAATCATTTTCTTGAGTTGATTGTCAGCAAAAAAAGAGAACAAAGTGTTTATTTCAAAGTTATAACTATTTGTATGAAGCTCTGCAAGTTTGTGATCGTCGCTTTTACAATTTTTGACATTGAAAAAAATTATAATATGTGTTAAATTTGCTAAGGAACTAAATCATTAACGCTGTGTTACCAACCTTATCGTAAGCAACATTTAGGGTATTCATTCGCCGACGTTCTCGCTCATTCGCGGCACTGCGTCGCATCCTTAGCAACTGGGGCGGTGGTGGTTGGTAACGCCGCGATTTTGTGATGGTTCTACAAAAAAGCACTTTCAAATCTAGATTTCTCAAGAATAGCGAAATAGTCCTCTTACCTCGTGATTTGCCCAAATTGAGGACTATGGTTGCAACTATTGG